TAAATCCATTACAATTGCTTCTCTCACTTACGTCATTTCTAACGCCACGTCATTTAATCACTTCTTATCCGTTCCACACAACTCTCTCATTTTTCATTCCCAATTCTGCCGCAAATATCAACAAATTTAATTCTTCATAACAAACATTCACAATAATAAAAAAATGGCATTTAATGCAATTTTATAAAAAGATTTTGAAGGAAACTTTTTTAATGTGACTTTTTGACCATTTACTGAAAATTAATGCAAAATTTTTTAATTAAATGAGAATAAAATCACTGGGAATGATGAAATAAAATGAAATCACAAAAACGATAATCCATTGCAAAATTTTTAAAAAATGTCTAAGGCTTACAGTTTTTTTTATTTTTCGTCTATAAACATTTAAGTAAAAATTTGAGAATTAGTGAGAAAAATATTTTATTATATGCTGTCACTATAAACACTTTTGTTATCAATGATATTATGCCATTGTTGTTTGCTATTTGCCACTATTTGATAAAATATTTTAACCTTGGTTAAATTAACTTAAATTTTGATAAAAATACATTTCAACTTTACTTTCATATTCACATTATTGCGGAAAGAGATGGACGACCAATTAAGATATCTGATAATATGAATGCATTAATAAGTATGATATAGTTGAAAATAGCATGTTTATTTTAGGCATAAATTAGATATCAGTTTAATTCATTTTCAAGAACAAATAAAAAACTGAATTTGAAACCTTTTTTAGCACAAATCCTGCTTTTTTCCAAAACAAGAGGAAAAGAAATAGATTCTTCCCATATTTCAAACTTTCTTGCTAAAAACTTAACTGAGATTGCTATATTTCATATATTAGCACTTTATAAAATCAAACTTTTTCTAAAAATTTCGCTATTCACTTATCTATACTATATTTAATAAGTGTTTTGTAAGATGATTTGAGAACATTCTATATTCACTATTTAATTGGCAACAAAAAATAAGATTCAATGTTTAAACAAATGTATTTTTCAAAAACTTAAAAAATATTGCAGATAGTTTTCAATGTTATAATCATTTTTCAATCACCACCATTATTGATATTAACAGTTAAAAGGTTTCAAGAATAGCCAAAAAGTCTCGCTAATCATTTAAAATGAAAAACATATTTAAAATGCAGCAACGAAGATAAACAGTAGCAATGATTAAATTTACAAAAATATAATTGAAAGCTATTTTGATTAATAAAACAAATAATGCATCAGTAATTAATTCATTATGCAAATATTGAACAATAGTCATTTATAACATATTGAAAATTCAGTGTAATTATCTTCTTAAATACATTTCTTTTATCTCAAACATTTCCATCGTTACACACCTAAACAAAATAGCAGATATGACTTAGCTTGACAGATATGACTTAACACTTAACAGAGACAAAATAACAGATATACTTAACTTTTTATAAATTGAATTCAAAAAAAACAAAGCAAAGGAAATCAATTAATGATATATTGCATGAACTGAGAGAAGACAAAATGAAATAATTTCTGATTTCAATAATAAATTAATTAATCTGATAAACTGAGAGAAAATTAATAACATCTCATTTGATCACAATAGTATATTATCGACTGAAATGAGTTTTTTTCCAAAAGTTTTTTTTTTTGCACAAACTGTCATATTTGCATTAATAGACTTTTTTGTAAAATATGTGCTGATTGACAATTCCAATTCCAAAAATAAATTTGTATCAAGATTGAAATACATTTGAAGTTATTTATTTCAGCAAGTTCAAAAATATTTTAGGCTTTAAAACCGGAAATTTTTTCCTGTACCTATCAACCACAAACTGTTGACCTCTCGGATTAAAAAAAAAATATTCCTGATGGAAGAAATGTCAAGAACCGAAAAAAAAGCGAAGAGATGAGAGGAGCAAATATTAAAAAGGAATACGAAACGATATTTTTTGTTAAAAAATTATATTAAAATTGCATGAATTGAATATATCGCCGTGTCATTTTAACTTTTTATCACTCTCACATTTTTTTTCACTTCATAATTATTTCTATTTTTTTTTGATAAATGTTAACATTTTCAGCCTCAAACAAGTTTTCCATTTTATCATACCTTCAGAAAATAACGAGAAAAGAAAGATTATTTTTTAAAGGAGAAAACAAAGCGTATGCGGTGAAATTAAGTGGAAACCGTTATGACCTTTAAAAGAAAAAGATATGAGAAGTTAATGATTTCTTTCTTTCACGCTTTCTTCTTCCCAATCCATCTTACTCTTTCTTTTATCATCCACCTTTAAATTACTTATCACCCAAAAATATCAGGTTATCAGGTGCTGATATATAAAAGAAATCTTATCCAGTGTATTACTGTATCCGTGCTACTGTGTATATAACACACTACCACTCCTTAAAACCAGAATAACTGCGATAACTTTTTGAAACCTTATCCATTCAATTTCCTAACCCTGATATGATAAGTTGATTAGTTATGCATGCATGTGCGGTATCCAACAAACCATTTACATATTTTTGATAATAACTTAATATATTCATATTGATAAAAAGCATTTGCATATCAATTTGCACTTCTAAAGTTCTACAATTGCCATTCTTCTGTGCTATCGTAATCGTTCTTTAAATATTTTATTATAATACTATCTAATAAATTCGAATATTATCAATCATTTCATCCACCAAATTCTTCCTTAATTTATAAATTATATCATAAGCAAAATCATATATCCTAAAAAAAATTCTCTCCAAAAGATTTAAATATTTATTAGTTTTATAATTTATTCAGATGCGATCAGTTGAAGCTGAAAACTATTATCTTTTTCGTTTTCATCTGCCATCTAAAAGATCAACCTTTTGTAGTTATTTTATTCCACATCTCTTCTTGATTATAATGCAGATTGTTTCATTTCAAAACACACTGCAAACTCCTGATTAAAAAAAAAGTTTTTGTATAATTTTCTAAAAAAATTCATTTTACAATCATTCATCAATTAACAAACAGTTAGTGATAATGAATCTCTGCCTGTGCTTTTTTTGTCATCTTTTAATTCGCATTCTATAAAATATTCAATTATATTTTATTCAATTTTCCTTTCGATCTTCCCATTCTCATTTTTTTTTCTTTGCAACTATCTTATTAATAAATGAATAATTTACGATATTATTTCTTTTTCGATTATAAAATCTGAAGATATTATTAAATTTTCTTTTATTGTATTTATTTGCAATTTCCATTAGTTCCTATCTGAGAAAAAAGTCGAGAGTGAAAACTATTTGAATCAATTCCATATCGAATTCAATCAACAATTTTTTACCCAATTTGATCTGATTTCAAATATATTCAACAATTTGCTATTCTTACAAAAAATTAAAGTGAAGTGGCGTGTTCAGTTGTTGTCTACGTAATGTATTCGCATTCTTTTACTTCATTATATTATGCATTTTTCAAAATGGAAAATTTTTAAGTTTTAACAATCTTAATTTTCAATTAGTTATTACAGAAGGCATCGATTTGCTAAATGTGTATTATTTTATCCAAAAAATATTCAAAATAAAGCTTTAAATATTTACACAAAACAGTAAAAGTTTCACTTTCAACATACCAAAAATTTTCATCGTCCTTAAAAGATAAATTCAAATTTATTTGCTCCTATCTTTTATATAAAATGCACCGAAATATTTCTCTAATTTCCCTTTCGATTTTCAATAAAATTTTCATTTTTAATGGTTCGAAATCGGTGAAGCATCTCTTAGAGGGTAATTATTATTGGTACCATAAGAGTCATGACCAAAATTGCGATGTTTGATTATATTGAAAATATATCACTGTTAATTGGTTTGTGAGAATTAAACGAAAAATAGAACGAACAAATTTTAACTTTCCTATAACAATTTATTCCAAAATATAGAAAAATTATTTATTTTTACGAAGCATTTTTTTCAAAAATTTGTTCCTTCATTATAATTTTCATTCAAAATTTTCAGCTTTTTCAAAGCCAACTGTATCATGTTCCTTATAAATTTGTGAAGTATTATTCAAATTAGCTATCTTTCGCTTTTTCATTTAGGCTGTAAATTTTTTCACAGAATAAATCTTTAAATTAAAGTGGTTGTAGTTTTTATAGGGGAAATTCAATGACATCAATCAAAAATTTGATTAAAATTAAACGGAGTGAAATTATGTCAAAATCATAATTTTTTTTTCTGTTTTTAAAAATTCGTCCTGCTCTTTTTCCAAAAAGTGAAAGTATCTCGCATTCTGATAGAGAAGAAAAAACAATGTCCACGCGGTAATTAAAATTGAATTTATGAGTAATTTTCAAATCTCTGATATAAATATTTTCCACTGAAATTTTTATCATTCGCCAAAAAATTGATACTCAGTGATGCAATTTTATAGTTGAATGCACTTCGTTCTTTTGTAATAATTTAAAGAAATTTTACTATTTTTATGGTTATCTTTAAAATATTTCGAACAATGGGACAAATAAATTTCAAATATTTAATCAACTGAGCAAGACCAATTTTCCCTTACATTTACGTCTAATTAGTTCATCAAATTACGACGTGATTTAACGTAAATTTTGTAGGTATTCATTTTAATGTGAAATGAAAAGAAAAGTTTATTTTATCCCTTTTTCATTTTGTCTCTTCGCTTACTTCCTTATTCGTTACTTTTTTATCACAAACAAACAATTTATAATTTTAGAAATTTAGATAATATCATTCGTTAACTTTAAAAATGATAGTAAAGTATGATGTATTAAATCATTCTATGAATTTTATGTCTTAGAATAGTTTTAAATTAAACTTAAATATATCAAAAAATTCTGTTATTGAGAAGAAAGCGGAAAATATGAGAGTTTAATCGTTGATCACTTTTTTTTAGGGCAATATGTTCTGCTAGAATAGAGGAGAGCATTTTAAAAAAATGAAATATTATTTACAGATAATCAGATAGTAATTGATTTCAGGTGATAGCAATAAGCAATAAGAATGGATCATTCAGGATTACAGCAAAGAGAAGCGGAAGCGATGAAACGTGCCGCATTCTTCGGTATTATCATATCAACGATAGCAACATTGACAGCGATCATTGCTGTACCACTTTTGTACAATTATATGCAACATATACAATCATCCCTTGAGGTTGAAGTTAATTATTGCAAGCATTTAACAAAAGGTTTATGGCAACAATATGATAAGGTATTCGTTTTAAATTAATTTCCTTCCGCTAATATAATCTTTAAAGATGATAAGCAAACTTTTATGATAACTTCTCACTGGAAAATACTTTTGTCATAAATTAAATAAAATCCATTCAAATTTCAATCGTGACAAAAATATTTTTATTGAACAAATGGATGAATTTATCAAAGAGGAAAGAAATTTTGCAGATAATTTCGATAAATTTCCGTTATTTATTTCAAAAAGTTTCTCGATATCAAAAACAAAAGTTTACATTAGGACTAAACCAAACTGTGTTTTATCAAAAAAAGCCTGTTTTAGTAGTGCTTTAAAAAGGATTAAAACTTTTCAATTTTTTTTAAAGCTTACTATGCTTCATTTATTTAAAAGTACAAACACAATGAAATGAAAGAGTACCGACGAACAACTTTTGACGAATAAATCCTAAGCTTTTTTTAAAAAGTTACGAAAATTACGGTTCTTCCTAATATTACAGGTGCAAATATTAGTCGATACAGGGAATGTTAACATTAACAATCGTCTCAAAAGAAACGTAAATCGAAATCATAACGATCGGATGAAACGTAAAAGACATCGAGCGCATGGAGCTCCAACATATTCGATAGAAGATGAAAGTATCGTATATAGCGTTGAAGATGAGGAGGAAGAGGAGGATGAAGGAGAAAATACGGAGGGAGAGGAAGTGGATGAAGAGGACAACAAATTTGAATTGATAAGAGAGGATGTGACACAAAGTGAATTCATGCAAAATGGTTGGTATTTGTGATCAATTAAATTTTTCACTTACATTTCTCAATTGCAGGAATGATTGATAAATGGAAAAAGATTTAAAGAAAGAAAGAAGTAAAAGAAACTGATAAAGTTCGTACTAATTATGGAATTTTGTGAATAGGGATTTAAAAGATTAATTTATATTTTACCAGAATAAAATAGACTTGAAAATTTATTAAGTGAGAAAAAATTAATTATTTTCAACGATTAAAAAGAAATTAAATGAGAAGATAACGGGAAATTTATTTTCAGAGTTAACTTTACCTTTTTAAAACTAAATTCAAATTAATTCTTCTTGTTTTAATGGAATTATTTTTAGTAGAAGGATTAATGAAAAATAAAATTAATTATTTCACTGACAAATTTCACAATAAAATTTGATGCTAATGCTGAGTACAATAATTAATTGCATTTCATGCTCGAAATAATCTTAATGAATCTCTGATAAGGAAAATAAAACTTTTTAGTATTTCTATTTTTTTTTATCTTACTCTTTTCAAGGAAAAAAGTTCACAAAAGAAAAATTCTTAAAATATGAAGTTTAATTTAAATTTTCGGGCAAAAAAAAGATAAACAAGTGGTTGACAGAATTTTATTGCAAATTAAATCAACAAATAGGAAATCGAATTTAAATTGGTTATATTTTGATCATAAAATTTTATAATTTTAGAGAAGAACAATAATGGCAGAAATAATAATACGAAATTCGACAAAATATCTCGAATTGATTATAACAAATCTAATGGAAATGGTGCAGAGATACCGAAAACTGTTGAAGAAATATGTTGTAGTTGTGGCATTGGAAGTGTGGGACCACCGGGACCTCCAGGACCAGACGGTGCAAATGGTTTGTCATTTGCATCACAATTATTTGCATCAGATCTCACCATCTTTTCAGCAAAAAAATTTTATTTTCAGGTGCTGATGGACTACCCGGAGCAAATGGACCACCGGGTATGGATGCTGAACAAAATGCGATGCCGGAACGAGAAGATTTTTGCTTTGAATGCCCCCCTGGACCACCAGGACCACCTGGAGCTCCGGGACCGAAAGGATTCCCAGGGCCAGCTGGAGAACAAGGAAGAGCTAGAAAAGGAGATCTGTTACCAGGACCACCGGGACCACCTGGGTTTCCCGGACCACAAGGACCTCCAGGATCTCCAGGACCACCTGGGATTGTTGGTTCACCTGGTGTTATCAGTGAATATCCTGGATTACGAGGACCACCAGGTCCTCCAGGACCAACTGGACCACCCGGTGATGTGGGACAACCTGGTTCAACCGGGAAGCCTGGACCTATTGGTCCAGTAGGGCCACCAGGTGATCCTGGACTTCAGGGTGCACCGGGAGCAACTGGATTGGCTGGAAATCCCGGATTACCTGGTAAAGAAGGAAGACAAGGTTCCTGTCATCATTGTCCACCACCTCGTACTTCTCCTGGCTACTAACATTCTCTGTGACATGCATATCATAACGATTTGTAATTATTCTTTCAATCGCTCTAAAACGATCTTTTTAACTTTTAAAAGGGATTGAAAAAAACATTTAAACTTTTCTATAGTAATATTTTTTAGCCAAAAAATTTGCTCAACCATTGCGATCTTAAATAGTGTAATTTTAATTGCGCCTTTTTATAAAGCCCTTTTTAAAACAAAGAAAGAAAAAAAAAACTGATTTAGTAGTTACATTCATTTCACGTCAGCATTTTTAACATTTAGTCTATCTGTCACATTTTCACATCCTTGAATTTCAATCCTAATTTTTTATTTCGAAAAAATATTTTGTTACGAAGAATATTTGCAATTTTTTGTTGACCCATTAATTTCAATCTTTTTGGAAATAAATTATATAAACTTCTTTGAAAAATTTTTTGAAATTTTCAATTGCATTCATTTCTCCCCAAAACTTCAACTTCGTTTTTAAAATTTTAGTTAACTGTATGCTGAAAAAATGGCAAACTAAAAAATAATCTAAGATAAACGTTAATTTTCTTCATAATATTTTACATATATTTTAGGAAAAAAATTTTTGTGTGAATCGATTTATATGGACTTTCCGGAAAGATTTCCAAACTTTTTCAAAGTAAAGCTCTTATAAGACAAAGTTGAAAGATATATTGAATAATCTTCTAAGTGAAATGTCATAGGTGGAAATATTATGCAGAAAAACATATATACACCTCATTGAAAAACTACTCGGAAATTCAAGGGAAAACTTTTGGAAATCATAAAAGTCCATGACAAATTTTAAAACAAGAATTTAAATAAAAGACAGAATGAAGTTTTGTTATACTAAATGTGTATGCAATTTTCAAATGACTGTGTGTTATATTTTTCGTGTTTCTTTTAATTATCTATCCCACTAATAAATCATTCTCTTTACACTTTCTCTTCTTTTACTGAAAAATTTTTTTGCAAAATGAACAAAATGAAACAAAAAATTTTCCAAAATTGTTAATATTTCAAAAGATCAATATATAATACTTCTTTTATTTCACTCCAGATTTTAATTAAACAGATTATTTTAAAAATTAATTTTCCCAAAAGTATTAATAACATAGCAGCTTGAAAAATATTACAATTCTAAGCTGCAATCGCAAATTCATGCGAATATTGAAAGCGGAAAATTTCATGAACGAATTGACAGAATAAATTTCAAACATGCTCATGTAAAACCATCTTTGGCCATAATATCCTTTTCATATCTTTCAGTCTAGACCTCATTTTTGTCGATCTAAGAAATTAAAAAAATGGAAATCTTTCCTTTTTTCTTTGAAATTTATTTATATGAAATTAGGTTTTTCATCAATTCATTCAAATTCTGTTAACAGTTGCAGCACGTATTTTTTAATGTTCGATGAAGTAACTTACCAATTTCAATATCCGATATTCAAACTCTGAGGAAAAAAATTCCTTAGCATCTCCAGTAAATTCAATTATTTCTCTCATCTTTAGTAAATTAATTCACTACTATTTCGAGATTTCAGGTATTTGATTTAGCGTTTCGTTGATTTACTTTCGAGTAATTTTTCAGTTTCGAATAGGTTTTGAATGAAGGAACTGCAAAATCTCGTTCTATGATTGGTTTTTTGCCACTAAATAATCATAATTAACTTATCTAATCAATTTATACCAAATATACACCTTCTTCATCCATATTTTGAAATATTTGAAAAGCTATTTCTGAAATATCAAAACACAAAATGTGATTTCATCATATAAATTCTTTTAAAATAACAAGGCCAAGGATAACTCAATCTTCTTTTATCGAAGTAAATGTCAATATTATCCAAAACTGCTAATCGCTTCAGCGCGACACATTTTCTCTTTTATTGAATTCATAAAATTTTTAATTTATTAAAAAAAGTAGTAATGACATTTCTTTCATTTATAAAGTATTTCAAAACATTATTTTCATTTATGCACTGTTGTACTTGAATAAATTTTCAATTTTTGTTTATTTTGCAACAAATTGAAAAAAATGAAAAGTGTTGACAGAAATTCAAGAAATCAAATTCTTTGATATTTTTAATATTTTTTTTTTTCATATTCAAATATTGAAATGCATTTCCAGAATTTAGCAAATTGCAAGAGATTTTTGTTATTTTACGCACCTTAAATGTTTGAAAAATCCTTGAAAATTCTCTTCATTCTCTGTAATATATCTTGAAGCAAAAATCAATCAATAAATAAATTATATGAAAATTGTGATGGTGCAATGAATGGCTAATGAAAAGTCTTCAAAATTGAAATCTAACGTTGAATTATTGTAGCATCATCGTATCCATTACTCTAAAGTTAAACAGATGACATGTTGAAACAATTATTTTAAAAAAGAGACAAGTATTCCATGAAATCGATAAACGGAAATTACTAAAAACATTAGTGATATTGATAGACAAAAGCAATATTTTTTCTTTAAATTTAATATCCTGGAGGAGTTCGTGGTATGGGACAGTGATCGCAACTACCGGTCACACCACCTTCTCCTGCTACGCCTTGACTTCCCGCTTCCCCTTCTTTGCCAGCACGACCATCTTTACCCTTTTTTCCTGGTGGTCCTTGAGGACCAGGTGGACCCTTCTTACCTTCTATTCCTTTCTCTCCCATTGGACCAGGAGGACCCTTTGGTCCTGGCAAACCTGGTGGTCCAAGTGGTCCATCTACTCCAGTAATTTCTCCTGGTGCGCCAGGCTGACCACAAGGTCCGGGAGGTCCTGGATTACCAACTGGTCCTGGTGGTCCCTGTGCTCCTGCTGGTCCGGGTAACGCAGCTGCTCCAGGCTCTCCTGGTGCTCCCGCTGGACCATTTGGGCCTTTTGGTCCTGGCGGCCCTATCGGTCCAGGCAATCCTGGTAAGCATCGGAAGCAAAAATCGTTCGCATATTGTGGAGCATCCATTCCTGGCAGTTCAGCATTTGCATCCATCCCTGGCGGTCCACGTGGACCAGGCTTACCATCCTTACCTGAAAAAATGAACAAAACACATTTATAAAATTTATGATTTAAATAACAAAAGTTAGAAAAGTAGTACTAATTGCGGGGAAAAAAAAATTTCAGCAGTCTATTTGTGAAATTATAATTTACAGTTTGCAAACGTTATCTGATATCTCATCTTTTTAATTTTCCTAATAATTTAATTTGGCATTTTATCAAGGAGAAATAATAGTTGTTTCTTGATCGATTCTCTTACCTATTCATTAATGTTGCTACTCTCGTAATTAGAAATGAAACATACCGTCTCTTCCTCTTAATCCTGGTGGCCCCATTGATCCCGGAGGACCAATTTTACAGCTACAGCAACCCATACCATCCATATATCCGTTCCCACTTTCAATCTCTTCCGACTGGCTTAATTCTTCTGATATTTTTTCGCCAGAAAATCCATATCTCCCTCTGTTGTTGGGATTACTTCTCGCACGAGCGCCATAACCACCATTATCATTTTGCCACTCTTCGCTATGAGACTCAGCAGCTCGAGTTTTTAAGGACAATTGACGGTTTGATGATTTACCTGAGCGTCGAATGTAGGCGCCACGTTTATTGCGTCCTTTCACGTTAACAATTCCTTCAGTCTGAAATTCCATCCAATCTAAAATTTTTCAATAATTTATTAATCAAAAGAAAATCAAAATCTCATTTCGAGTTTATTCAGGTAAAAAAACAAAAATCAAAACTGAATGAAAACAGAATGTTTTTCAATCTTATTGTAACAATCCCAATAAAATAGTTAAATATCAGTGAAGAATGTTTCAATCATTCATCTCTATCACATACACATCAAATGTAAAGCGAAAATGAAATTGTGTTAAAATATAATACTGAGACTACAATAAGTATAAGTGAAGGAAGAGGTAAAAAGGACAAAATTAAGAAGAAATATCAGCCAATAGGCAGACAGTAATCATCATTTCCGTATTTATTTCAATACATTTTACAGCAAAACCAATCAAACTTAATTTCTAGAAGATTATATTCAAAATACATACTATAAAGTATCGTTCCCAAAGATCATTCGATCGATGTTTGCAGAAATCGATTTCAGATTGTAAGCCCGATTCTATATGCTGCACATAATTATAAATCATTGGAATGATAGTAATAGCTGTTAATATTGAAAAGGTCGATACAGCCGTACTGAAAAAGGTTACACGTTTCAGGCTTTCCATTTCTAGCCTCCGGTTTTCTCTTACAATCATATTGCCTAAAAAATATGTAAATTGCGATCAATTTTTGCTTATTAAATTTTATCAGACGGCGATTGAAGCAGTATGGATAACTGATATAGCTCTATTTCTTCCTATATTTCTTATCAACTAATATAATTAAAAGGAACAGATTGATCTAAGTTTGTTTGCAATTGAAGCGATTAGCATATATGGTAAATTCAACGAAAAGCAGAAAAAGTTTTGAATTAAATTAATTTGATTAATTAAGTGTTTTAGCTTGATGATGATTATGTTACTGATATTATAAATGTCATAAGAAATTGAATGGTCACAGAATTGCGTCTAAAACTCTAATATCTACTGATTTTAAACATATAATTTAATAAGTAACACCAAGGAAAAAAAATGTCTAAAAAAAGACAAGAGAGAGAAAAAGCAAATCAAGTTCAGAGTTTTAATTAAACATCATTTTATGTCATAAACATAAATGATGTAAATAGTTCAAGAGTGATGAAACATTACTAATTTTTTCTGATAGTTTAAGGACAAAATGATTGTTTCAAATAAAATGAGCAATTTCATAAAAATAGTAATGGATTTTTGGAGAAACGAAAATGCATAAAGTGAATACATATTCAAAATATATTTAATCATTTGATTTGAAATACTTTAAGTTTTAGATGATAACATACTATAACAGGTGCAATTGACAGTGCGTTTCATTTCACACATAAGTTAGTGATAATGAAATGATAGTGACAATGAAGTTGGTTCGTGTGAAAGCAGCAGAAGAGAAGCTTTTCGGCTTTTACAGTTCTTCATGGCGAATATATTGGTTATTATCGATTTAATCAGAAAATGGATGCAGTGGATTTATATCATCGAAGACTGACGATTGATGATATTTCAAGTACTCCACGATTTCTCGCTTTAGGAAATTATCATTATCAGTAATAAAATATATTTGATCAAGAGTAACCTTCAAAGACTGTATTCGTTTCTTTCTAGCGATCTTTTATTCCAACTCTTCTCATTTGTATATAAGTATTTCATGAGTTTATGGTTAAAAAGATCTTCAATATAAATTTTCATCGAAAAAGAGGCCTCGCATGAATCGGGAGTCATTAGCATACTGCGTGAAGCGAATCCCTTTTACAGAGAGCCAATGTGAACGGGTTCGTGAAATGGACATAAAGCAGACTGTTTGACGGTATCATTGATAATGCTAAAATTTGATGTTATTTTATTTTGTGGAACATCTAAAATATAAGCATGTAGAGATGATTTCGAAATTATGCGGTAACTGAAATAGAAATAATTAGATTAGCAAAAAAAGTTAAATTTTATTCAATTGATAGAAAAACATTTCATATAGAAAAAGAAATGACAACTTCATTTTCAACCTAAATAGTGCTAATTACAGTATGGCTATTATTTTAAGGAGAGAAAACAAGTTATTGCTATCAAGTTGAGAAGTATTATCACTTCAGGTATACTTATGCTGCTGCATAGAAAAAGAATAAGGACCAATCAGTTAATCAACTATATGTTTAATTTTCATCGCAATTATAATGTTTGTATGATGTGAAATTAGATTACCTGTCGTCTTTGCTTATAGTAGCTTACATCATATTTCTTCCATCATACAAAACTCGATCTTGTTATTTCAGCTTCTTACCTGTGTATTAGTTTGTTTACATGATATTGCACGCGCTATTGCCAGCGGGCAATATCATAATGCCCGATTAATCCTTTTTTGTTTTGGCTAATTTTTGATGTAATGATTAATGCTTCGGAATGACAGTATATGATGACATAATGTTGTGCCAGCTGTCAACAGTTTCATAGTCCAAGAGAAAGAGAAGAGAAGGAGAAAAGAGAGAGGAAAAGAGAAAAGGACAATGTCCATTATCGAAAAAAAATTGACTATAAATGTTGCTTAACAAAAATCAACGGCTTCTGTTCCTCTGGAATTGAAAAAATGTTTAAAACTATCATAATGAAGTGATAATGATATGAATGAAAAAAAGTTTAGTTTTTTAGTAGAAAAAAAATTTCAGGAATCATATAATTCACATATATATTTCTGAAACCCGTTATTTTCGAAATCGTAATATGCGCAACAATGTTATAACAAAACAAATGGTTATCTCAGTGAATAAGAGCTATTCTTGTAGGTGAACAATCAGCTCTCGGAACTGATAATTCCTGTATATTTTGATGATTCGAGTAATAGCAATGCTTCGTTTTCTTGAATCATCTGATGACTCAACATTATCTGGTATACTCGCTGTATCAGGAAATCCGATCATATTTGAAGATCCTAAAAATTCTTAATTTTTTTCTGGAAGCAAACAAATTACAAAAAATTAATCCAATTTATTACAGAAAATTTAAGACAAACAGAAAGGCCGATTAATAAGGTATTAAGAATCACAGGGAAATCAGTATAAAACATTAAGAAACAAAAAATTTATCTAATGAATAAACCTTGTATAATAATGCCCGGACATCCTGGGAAACGTGGTGATTCTTTTGAACCAGGAAATCCTGGTTGTCCTAACGGGACCTCGTAGACTACGTGGACCTGGACGATACAGTGAATGTCCACGCCAATCTTTCGGTCCAGGAGACCTTTTAAACCTTTTACACCAATTTCACCTGGACATGTCATATATACATATTTTAAAAGCAAACCCATCGCTTTAAACCTTTTCAAACTATTCCATCTCTGCCCCGTGAACCATGATCTCCTGAATTATTTGGTAAGAACTTTATCACTATTATCAAACTGTTCTCTTGCAAATACCAAAATTAGATACATCAAATGAAAATAGTTAAAATTGCAAGAAATCTCGGAAATTAAGATTGTGAGCTTCAATTAGGTAGGATAACAGCTTAGAAGATCGGGAACTTCACCTGTAAAAGCTTTATGAGGAAGAATTATTTGTCTTCCAATTGGCTTCATCAGCTTATAAATAAAAGTGGAGACTGAAGTCATATTTTATTAAATGAACTTTCTGCATAATGTTTCATGCCACGAGTGAGATAAAAAATTGAGTAATACATTGATTGGATCAGTCAGATCTTTCATTTAATTTCCGCCTTCATCATCAAATTACATGTATAAAAACATTGAAAATGGCATCTACTTTATTCATTTATACATTTTTCCACGATTCGTAAAAAAAATTGTCGCACGAAAGAAAAAGAAAAAGGAAATTGAGAGAAGAGTTAAAAAATACGTCAATTGGTGTACATATTCGCTAATACGATAAGAAAAAATGATAAAAATAGTATAAATCCCATATTCTTCTGCTTTAGATAAGAGAAAAACTCCCAATGATTAACTAATCTAAAATTTTCTTAAAGTGTTTTAACAAGTTCGAACATTATACTGATGATTATTCAAAGGACAAAAAAATCTTTCTATATTTATTTCACGCTTCAAGTTTCAAGAATAAGATTCTTCTTTTTATTATATCATTCGATTTTATTTGACTTACCTTGGTCCCAATCTTAGCAATGGTCATGAATATCTCCTCACTTGTAATTATAAACACAAAAAGTTTTCCACTATCTCAAAACTTGTCTAAAAGCGCAGCTGCATAATAAAAAGTGACACTTTAAATTATAACATATAAACATTTTAATCATATAAATACTGTTATAGCTGGCTGTTCATTTGTTAATATTAATAACAAACACGCAAAACTTGATATAAATGAAAAAAAAGTATCATGAAATTTGCAAATAATTTGAAATCAATAACTTGATTTACAAGCGTTCCTTTAAAAACAAACATCATCCCTATATGAAGTTATGCATTTGTTTCCTTTTTTTGCTTCTCCTGTTCAAGCTTCTCTACAATACTTTCCCACTCGAGAACTTGATAGTGGAGTTGCTCCAAAAGTATCACAAATTTCCTTTTGATATCCGCGACATTGCCGTGGTGCCTGATAAAATTTAAAATAAGAAAAATGTGGGAAAAAATAAATAGGAGAAAGTAAAACATCATTTCATTGTCTTTATGATGTCAACTTAAACCTTGCAGAACTTTGTTCAAATTGAAACAGTTTCCTAAATGGCGGTATAAAAGAGATAAAATTAAAGAAAAATGAAAGTGACATTCTTTACTTCAAAATGGAATTAAGTTAAATTGGAATTATGTTTATATTCTCAAATTATGATTAAACTAAAGGAATATTTAAATCAAGAACTTTTTCACATCCAAAGCCGATTCATTGATTTCCTTCTCGGCTGCATTGAGCATTGGTATATGATGGCCTACATTTGAAATTGATTCAGATTTGAATACAACCTGCAATGGAAGACTAAAGATTGTACAGAACGATGAAAATCAAATCAGAGATCTTTGTATAATCCCTACCCTCTCTTGAGAAAAGTAATAATCGGATTTTACGCCATGCGGTAATAAATTCGTTCTCCTTTGGTTCAAAATGAAAAAAAAAAATGTTAAAAATTTTCAGTGAGTTTTTAAGAACGTTCTGTATGTATGGAAATCAACACTCTGTTTTATGCTTTAGCTTTGAAATCTAATGACTGAGATCTTAAAATAGCAGAAGTTGTGTACTGAAAATTTAAAGCTCAAAATAACCTCGGAATCTTTCTGAAACTGCTCCAGTAGTCTAACCCGTTCGATCATTAGATCGTGACCAAACTCTATTTCTCTCTTCTTTTCTGTTGAGGTCAAATAATCGCTCTAAAAGTTTAATAGCCAACATGGTGATTTTTCAGCAGGAAAATTAGATTTTTCAATTATCTCTATTCCACTGATAATTAAAATGAGTGCGCATATCATGTCAGCGATGTGATCTGTGGAGGAATGAAGTTACAGGAATGAAAATAGGAAAATCATGGCCGAAAAATAGTAAATGATATAATATTTTCTGGTAAAGCATCTTGATAAATAGTTAGATATTCAGCAAAAAAAAAATAGAAGGAAATGGAAAAACTAACACCAGTTGCCAGATCAGTGATCTTTTGCAACATGTCAGCTGAAACTTTCAACAGAAAGCCACAACCAGCTTCGGATATCTTCTTCCGCACAAGAGTTAATTCTTCATTTAAATTTGTAACGTTCCCTGCCTTGCGTAAGCCTAATCGACCTTCCAATTTTGCTAACCGCTTTTCCAACATATCCTCCATCACCTGATATAAAAAACAATTAAAAAAATTGAGGAATAAACTGTCATGCTGATGGTCGTGAGAAACCCGATTCAGCTAATGGAGGTTAATGTAAGCATTAACGCTGCTTTCAATAAAAATATTTAAACTGAAAAAACATGACTAAATCAAAATGGACCATTTTTATACAAAAAATTCATAATTCCACAAATAACTTTAAATTGAAGAATTTGATAATTAAAATTATTGAACATTTCCCTTTACAAGTTTGCTCTAGCATAAATAATCATATTCAGATTTTCTTATAAAACATGATTTTATTCAGATCAACTGTATAATTTGCAAAAAGAGAACAACACGTTTATTGAAAGAGTATTATCGTCCAAATATTTATCCTAGTCGGATTTGTTCACTGATGGAAAACAGCGATACTAACACAACTAGATCGAGTACAGAATAAAACCTGAAATTTCGTTACGCATAAATGCACAGACTTCTGCAAAAGAGAGAAAGGAATGAACGATATAAAAAAGATTGAAAAGAGGCCCGTGAAATATCAATACTTGTTCGTTCTAGAATGGAGAGGAAAAGCTAATTGAATCAACTGAAAAATCGGAATAAGAATGTCGCACTTATCAATTATTTTGTTGTTTAGTTATCCTTGATAAGCTTTTAATACAGTTTGCTATTAGCAAAGCACGAATAGAAAATCATACATTTACAAACAATAAAAAAAACTGAGCATGACAAAGTTCGTAATCATTTAACAGTTCTATCTGTAGATATCTAAAAACACTGTTGTACAAATGAAAATAATTATAAAAATATATGAAATTAAAATTAAAAAAAAACGGTATGGAAAAAAGGTAAAACAAGATTTAAGAGAAACAATACATCTCTACCGCTCGTTTTTTTTTTCACCTCATAATATGAAAATAATAATCCTAATAAATAAATTACTAAAATGAAGGACTGCCATTAAATATATTGTAAAAACGTAAGAGGATCTCTGACTCATCAGAAATATTCTTGAAAAAACTAACTTCTAAACATCATTATAAAACTTCAAAGCATTTCCTCAATTGCAGCAATGGACTCTTTTTACAAAAAATATTCCGAATTACAATTAATTTGAAAATCTAAGTAGTGTTCCGACGGCAATTACTGCGACAACGAGAGACTGTGCTATAAATCTTAGACAGTCGCCAAAGACACCGAAATTCTGCCAGAATTCATAGTACATTTCTATCGAGCTAGCTGATCTGAAACTTTAAAAAACTATTGAAATTTTTAAAGGCAAAAGTTTTTCAGCAATTTAATTTTAGAAGAAAAGAAAAAGTGAGAATAAAGCAATAGATATGTTAAATAATCGGTATTCTTTATATGAAAATGGAACAAATATACAACCAAATTAGAAAGAAGGAGCCAAATTAGTAAGGAAAAAAACTGCAACTGTCAAGTTATCACTTTTGAAGTGTATATAGTAATGTATATATAACAAAATAAGTTACTTTTTCTCGCTTTTACGCTGACAGTGAGAGAAAAGTCCATCGAAGTTTGATCGTTCTGTACAATCAACAGATGTTCTGCTGTTATCCAATGAGATATTATATGTCTGACGTTGTTCTGGAACTTTCAAAACTTCGTACGCTGTGGTTAAGTCGATAAATGCATCATTTCGTCGTTTAATTTCATGATTGTTTGAACACTTCTTCCTGTCTGGATGCAACTAAATTTCGGTTCAAATACAGAAAACAATCATGCACGAAATCAGACGCAAATTCGATCACCTTTATTCTTCTACATATTTCCTTACAACAAAAAATTAGGAACATATGATTTCAAGATATTTAGTTTCCCGTCATGCTCAAAAAAGAAATTTTTGACGATAATGAAATTTTCCACTAAGTTAACATTTAAAATTGCAGAATCCTTCATCATTTCACCACTGAATTAAAGATGAATACTCATAATTATTATAAAGATTATGAGAATAATGAATGATCTGCTCTTAATATTCTATAAAATATAAAAACGTAAATTAGCACTCTTTTATGAAATTCGATATATGCTTACTTCTTTTGACCTTTCATAATAAGCCCTCTTAATTTCTGCCTGTGTTGCGTTTTTTGAAACACCAAGTATTTCGTAATATGTAGGACTGCAAAGTATTCATGATTGCATTTCAGCTATGCCAAGAAACACTTTTAGCTATATTCATGACTGTGAATTAAGAAAAGTTAAGAATTGCTGCTTAATTCACCGCCATTATACTCTTTATTAAAGATAAAATCTGGATGAAAAAAGAAGATACAATAGACTACTCTATCTCTCCAAAATGGCAAAAAATTAGTGAATCTGAAAAAGCACTTCTCTGTATGATAGACCAATTGCTGCCCCCATGTATGAAGTCTTAATGCTGTTTGTTGTATATTTCGTTGCCACTGTCCAATAAAAAAAAGCATGAAAGGCCTGTAATTTTGGAAAAAAATTCAGCTATTTCCATATCACTCATTTCTTTTTTTTCAGCATAAACATTACCAATCCATACGAAATTAAAACAACAAATGATACCAAACAATGACAGGTAAGTAATTTATAATGGATATGAATTATTCCTGAATGCTTAAAATAAACAATTAAGTTGAAAGCTATGCATTCGACTATTTTCCATTCTCAAAGCCAATGGAAGAAGAAAGCAGAAGGAAAATGAAGCAAATATTAAATCTCTCGCGAAACAAAAAAGCAACGACAGCACAAATTATTCACTCATTCATAATGAAATGTTATCAATCACTGGTAAATTGTCAGACACAGTACTGCAACATTTTTCATTCTTTCATGAAAATAAGACAGTTCTCCCAAGAAAGACCATATCTTGCAATTTTCCTTCAAATTTTCACATTTCAAACAGAATATCCCTTAACAATTCATTCTATCACATACACTTCGTAACAGCTTAAATTACTTAACTTCTCCAAAATCGATTCCAATCACCAACATTCCAAGCTGAGGTAGTGCCAATTCCAGCCATTTGATTTTAAATGTTTCATTATCGCTGCATGCTATGAATCATGAAATAGAATTCTCAGAGAATGGTGAAGTGAGAATGTTTCTTACCTGTAATCTTCCAGTCTTATTTTTACTGTGCAAGTTTCACTGTTCATCGTAGATCTTACTATATTAACTTAGACAATCCAATTTTACCTTTATACCTCGAAAACAAATCTAAGATCATCTATAAAATATATATCATATAGAAGTTAATGATATCTCATATTAGAATAATCTAAATTAATTTGATTTTTCCCGAGACTAAATTCAAATATTTAATTTTATTCCATAGTCAGATCTTTATGTTTGTAAGCTATTTTACAAGACAAAAATAAATAAACTGGCCATGTTGATACTTGTGATAAAGTTAAGAACTCGTTACTTTTGTTCTCTAATTGCTATCTTTCCTTGAAAATAAGATTCAATGGAAAAATAAATCCTTTCATGATTTTTTCTTATATCGTCATAATATAATTCATATCTGGAAAATGAATTCAATTAAAATCATCTATAAAATGAAGTTAGAACGCGATGGATATGGATGGATTGTAAAATATCAGTAATGTTTACTCAAATACAGCATAGTATTCATATTGTTTTTTTTTTTCAAATATATGTATTTATGCAATTTCCCTGTTGTAATATATATATGAGCATTCCTTAATGGTAAGAGCATTCTTTAACGATATGGAGCAGAAATTAATATAAGGTCCGGTTTTCTTCTGGGGATAATACGATATTCGTCCGGTTTTCTTTTCAGGGTAATACGATGTTCCTGTTATGAATGTGAAAAACAGATGGGAATGTTTGATATGCCATTTACGACTCAGACATAAATCTTTTTTCTTCATTTTAAGGCAAAGATGGCTGTAATGTTTGACCACTTATCATTCCATTTTGTTTATTTTATCATACCATCAATCACATCGTTTGAATTCATAAATAATCGGTTGATATAATGAATTTCCGGTAAAAAAGTTATTCATTTTCTTGAAGTAATTTATGCAGCCTCGTAAAAACAGCAACAAATACATTGAGCTTTTCGTGAAATTTTTTAAACAATTAAAAGTAATTTATTTTATTTTTCATTTTTTTTTTTGAAATGAACAAATTTCACTTATCAAGTTGGTGAATCAATTTTTTTAACTTAAATTTTGAAAATTAATTTTACAAGCATTTTACCCAACATTTTCATTTCATATATTATTTTTAAATGGTTTGAACATCTTTTATAGCTATTTTTGAAATGTTTCATTAATAGTTATTGAAATTACCTATAAAATGCAAAAATAAATTAAAAACATGCATAAAGTATAAATTAATGAAGAGTTCTTTAATGTAATGTATAAATTAATTTACAATGTAATATATAAATCAATCAGAAAGGAAAAGGATTCCATTCTGATTTAACAGTTTAAATGATAAATACTATACAAATTATTACTATTGTTTTTCAAGAAAACGAACTGATATGTTATAACGATCATAAATCAATATTGGATAACTTGACAATTATAAACATATAAGCTTTTGAATTGATCCCATAATCTTAGCAACAACTACATCGTATTGAATTTCAGAAAATTTACTCCACTAAAGTTTTCAAACAAACAAAGCTGATATTTCTAAAACAAGGCACAAATTTTTGCAATTTTTGCCCAAATAAGAACCAAAAGCATTGATTGATCACTCATTAAAAATTTGATTTGAATTCTAAATTTGTTTTGAAAAAAAAAAGTTGTTTAGGATTAATTACATCGTTCAATGATCTCATCGAACGACCTCTTTTGAATACAATGACAAAACAATCCAAATTCATTTTGATACTTTGATCCACATTTCATGGCCTTTGACGACAACGTATATTCCGAAATATCATTGCTGTTACTGCTATAACGGCGCAAAGTGCTATCTGCAAAGTTAGCTCAAATTTGTCTCATCCAAATATTTTAATTGTTCTTTTTGGAAGCTAAAAATTTTTAAATATTAATTATTGTGATGTTAATTTGTAAATATTAACTACTAATTATTTCCTTAATTGTGAAGTATTTAATGGATTTCTATTTAAATGTTCTAAGATTTTAATGTATAACTGATATTTAAAATGATTTTTTTCAATTTATTCCTACCATGAACGTTTATTTATAAAGCTTGCAATGAAATTTAACGTCAGCACAAACTTCTGGACTTTTCTATCAAGAAAATAAAAGAAAAATTATCCTATTGCTCCTTTAAAATACTGTAATTTGCAAATTTTATTCCCTCATATTTATTAAAAAATTCATTCTTTGATATGAACAAATCATTTCACTTCATTGATAATAATTAGTAAAATGGAAAAAAATTTTCAAATTTAACATTTTGCGGAAAGTAAGTCTGAAAGACTAAAATAGTAATTAAAATAATTAAGGAAGGATTTACCAAAATAGTAAGTGGAGCAATCAGAACAAAAAAATTCCATGTTACGCAAACAACATCATCACGACTCAGTTCATTAACAATTGCTTCCGGTAACTGATGGCATCTTCTCCTAAATTATCATTTCCAGAGTACAATGCACTAATCATACATTATTTTATTTTTTACCAAAATGTATTAGTTCATTTTAGTTTGATAATCAATTATGTAATCAATAAACTAGCACGCTATGCTTTATACATTTTAAAATTTCACGTATTATTTCCCCGAAGGTACGCTTTCAGTTGAAAAAAAAAGGAATTGTTGGTGGAATTAAAAACTCACTTTCCAAAATGCCTATCGAAATCTCGAATTTCGACTGTTTGCGAAACAACGTCCAATATTAGCGTTTCACCATTTTCTATCATAAAAAGTAAATCTCTCCTGTAAATTTCCTATAGCAAATAAAACATCCATTATTTTTCTAAGATCATATAACATTACAAATAATTCTAGCATTCAAAAGCTATCAACTTCTACAAGCTTTATTAAAAAGGAAATGAATTATTTTTTCAGCCATCTGATTAAGTTTTCCTCCTCTCTCAAATAACATTCCCGACATTTCTCTTAGAAAAAATTACACAGCGGTGAAAACTATTTTTTTGGAAGCAGGCAGTTTGTTTACAAATGAAGTTTCAATAAATCAAGGAACATACCGATTCCTATGATTACCAAGACAGGTCGGTTTAGCACACTGATAAGTTTTTGACGGTAACAAGCTTATTTGACATTGAAAATAAACGTAAGGTTTTTCAGCAATGCCAAAAACGGATACGTTTTGTTCGACATTCATCTGTAAAAAAAAAAGAAAAATGAAATTTCAATTTCCTTTAAAAAAATAAGAGGAATAATTCTTCTTTGAAGTCTACAAATCCGCATTCTATATTAACGTTATTCTTTAAAAACCGAGCAAAATTTCAATCAAGCAAAATCTTATTTTATTTGACAGTTTTCTTTTTCATGAAAAATTCAAAAAAGAAATTAAATGTATACATTATCAATGTAGACCAAATCCGGAAGAATGGCACGATCCATGGAACATCCTTGTTTATCGATAAGTTGATACTTTGAATCACCTGCTATCACGAAGCAATTAGTGATAACAAGACATAATTCTTGATCCGAACGAATGCTACAAGACCAATGATGGCGGACCATTTCACCGATAATTGCTTCATCCACAAGTTCATTATCTTTCAAACTTCGTATCTGATATTCGCACTGAGGGATTGAAGTCGATCCACGAAGAGCATCTGAAAATGAAAATAAAATTTCAGATTCGAGTACCACTGGATAATATTGAAATTTAGGATCAGTTTTTATTTTTAATTTTTTGGAGCAAATCATAGAAATCGAATCCATTATTAAAATATTTTTTAAGTTGGAACTTTAAAAAAATTGATTCTAAATTTTATCCACTAGTACTTGGATTTTTTTCTTTACTTTAAAGTTACTTTCAATTTTAACTTGGTTAAATTATTGATTTAATGAATAAGTAAATTTTTATTGTTGTATAAAATAAAAGAAAATAACTAATGAAGTTCAGTAAATACCCATAAGCTTACTGTCAGCAAGAAATGTGACCTATGATGCATCATTGATCATTAAATTTTAAAATGTAATAGTTTGTGGTGTAACGATTACTTGATTTAACAGTAAGGATTATAATAATTGTTAATTTAATTTAACTGCATGTAAATTCATTCAAATTCATCAAATCAGAGAAAATGGAAGAAAAATGAAATTTACTGGTAGAAATAGCAGGTGGTGCAACTGATCCTGGAAATAACGATTGATCTGATGCACGAGTATGCAAACATCGTAATAGATAGATTCGATCACCAGCAGTAACATAATGAGGATGAAATGAAATTAGCACTGATGTAGCAATTATTACACCCATTGGACTTAATGACCTGAAAAAAAGTAAATCAGGAAAAAATTTATCAACTTTAATTTAAATCTAAAAATCAAGTGTACCAAAAATAATTTAATTTTATCTAAGAAATTTCCTTTCAATGTTTATAAGCATAATTCAATTGAAAAATTCTAAATGAAGCTTTAAATTAATTTATTTTATACAATTATTTTATTTTTGGATATTAAAGTTAATAAAAGATTTAAATATTTGTTTGTCGCTTTATTTTTTCTTAAGATTTCTATCTGAAACTGACATTACCATAAAAAGCTAATTCCAGTTGAATACTTTACTAAGATTTGGTTCATTAACCTCACAAAGTTTCGCAATTAGCCATTTTATAAAATTAAGGAATACTAATCTCATGTGTTTTATTTTTGTGGTCCTCATAGACGAAAATTTATCGAAATACGTCTTAAAACTTATCATTCTCAAATGAGCTAAATGATTGCTTATATAAAATCTCTTTTTTAATAATGTCCACTCTTGTCCATCTTCCAGTTGATTAAGAATTCATAATAACAGAAAACTGCCTAATCATTATCCAATTAGCTTACCCTAAAATTTGCATAATGAAAGAAGGAAATAAGATTAGGAATTTGTGGTTACTGTGGACAACAATGCATCATTTATTTTGACTTTATTTATTTATATCATTTAAAATTTAGAATTTTCAGAATAAATTAAAATTCAGAAATTTTGTATCGATGTTCGATTGAATCAATTTTGGTGCAAAATGGTAAAAAGCTTAAAGAATAAAAATGAGTCTTTTTTTTCTTTCGCATTCTATTTAACGATGAACGCAATTTAGTCATTTCGAAAAATGAGTTTAAATTACTGCAATTTTGGTTTGAAAAAAAAAATGATAGACTGAAGAATTCTGTGTCTCTTTTTTTCGTTGGTGTGTTTATGTGTACTTATCTTAGAAAACATGAACTGTTGGTAAAAGATGAGAGAAGGATGTAAATTTAAAGAGGCATTTTGAAAAGCTTTTCATGCAATAATAACTATTTCTTCTTCAATTTCACAAGCACTTTTTTTTCTTGTTTCCTTTCTCAAAATCAACCCTCGAAGGCATGTTTGCATCATTTCTTACATTGTTCTTATGGCCAATGACAGGCCTTCCTCTGGGCAGCATTGAATGAAGCGGAAAAGGACAAATTCTGTGGCATTTAAATAGTAAAGTTTGTTGTAGAAATGTTTTGTGGGAAGGGAAGTGAAGCTCAGTTGAGCATCAAATTTCTTTGTCATTCAATTTTTCGCATTAATTAATTTTTCAAAAATAAGTTAAAATAAAAATTTGTTTTCATTGAAATTGCTGCATATTGTTGCATCCGACAAACCAACAAACTTCATCAATGAAAAAGAAAATTAATTGAAAATTAAAGATATGAATAGATAGATATTTTTCATTTATTTTTAATTTTGTAAGGAAATTAATTTCGTAAGGAAATTTTAGCAAAATTACTTGCTAGCTGATGTTTTAACAAATTTAGCACAATTGAGACAGATTATCAAAGGTAGTGGAGAAAGAAACAAAAAACAAATAGAAAGAAACTTTCTTAAATTTACTTTTATTGTTTAAAAATAAAATTTCAGCTTTATAACAGGTTTTTTCCGTTTCATTGCAGGAATTTTTCATTCATTCGTTTTACTTTTTTCTTATGAATTCACCTTAAAAATCTCCTTAATCAAAAGTGCAATTTATAATGTTTCGCAATATTTCTCTCTGTTTCGAAACTTCAAGCATTGAAAAAAATTTAATATTTAAGTAAGCTTTTACTTGGAATCAATCAATTTTTGCTTCTACGTTTTGTTAATAACTTTTATAAAAAATGAATTTCAGGAAGTCATAAAGCACTAAAAGACAAGAACGCAACCATTTATTTCTGCTAAGTGAAATTAATAAACAATAAATGAAAGATAGATATTTAAAAAAAAATTATTAAGAATATAATGGTATGATTTATTGATCTAACATAAATTGTTTATCAATTATAGATTGTAATATTCTTCAATACAATTATTTCAACAAATGCTAAAACAAAAAAAGAGAAAAAAGTTTTTTTCCATAAAAAAGTGTAAAATTATTTACAGAAATAAATCTTATTTAAGTTATCATATAATTACGGTCATTCAGTAATTTTTGAAATTTAATTTAGTATTTGAAGTTGCTAAAAATTATTACTTAATCCGTGGTGCATAGTACTTTAAAGTGAAGTGAATGGAAATGGAATTAACCTTGTTCTGCTTACTTGACAATCCTGATGTGGTATGAGCAACTCTATTTGATTATTTGTTACCAGTACCTGATAGCAAAAACGATTCGGTGCATGGCGTACATTTACGTGGCCAACAAAGGTCATGTTCGTTTTCCACTTCACATAAATCGCATCTGCTGAGCAACTAAAACGATAATGACTCTAATAAAAATTAAAAATATTCTTTTCTAAAATGGTTAAAATACTGACTAATTGTAGATGATCAAAGTAAAAGCTTTAGGTAATATTTAGTATTTTGTTGTACCAAACAATATTATTTTAAAATCTTTTTTTGAAAATAACAAGGCTAATGGATAGATAGTAAGTTATATGTTGAATTGTTAATGGATAAATAGTGAGTAATATATTGAATTTCAATTAAAAAATATTTGAAAATTTAAGCTATTAAACAAAATTTCATCTTATTAGTTCAAACTCTCGGGTCATTCGGAACAATTACTGTCAAAATCATGCAAAAATTATTGTTAATCTCGGAAGTGAGAATGAGATTTTTTTTCTCTCATTAAGGTATCGCTGATAATTATTGTTCATTTACTATGGATCTCTCATTTCTTTACCAATTTTTGGAAGCGTTTAATTTTACAATCTTAAAAAATATGTTAAATTTGTTAAGTTCATGCATTCTTCAAAAGAAAATAGTTTAAATGACCTCGAAAAAGGGATGGGTCTGAGAAGATTTGCTGGAATAAATAGAAAATGGCAAAATATTCATTCATTTCATTTTTTTTCTCTTTCTCTTGATAAAAAGTTTTAAGAAAATTGAAGAATGCCAACGATGGTGCTATTCATAGTCGTTCATTTCTATGAATTATTTATTTTTCTTTTACTAATTTTTTAAAATGCTCAGATTTTGAAATGATTTTTAGTGAGATTTTGAAATGATTTTTACGCTAATAAAAGATGCTAAAAAAGCTTCAACATTATTAAAAAAATTGAAAGACATGATGAAATAAACTTGTTGTCACATTTTTCACTTACTGATTCATATCATTTCCCTCTATTTCGATCTTTTTCCGGGAATTTTTTGCATCTTATCTTTTCTCATTTCTCCATCATTTTCAATTCATTTTTCTCATATTAAATTCACAACAAAATTTATGTCGCCGATTTGAAATTTCTCTTAATTTTTAAAAATTTTGTCATTTAATCCTTTCTACAAGCATAATACTCAAATTCTAACATTATGACCATGACTAAAGTGCGAACAAATACCGCAACACATATTTAGTATAAAGATTTGATTTGAATTCCGAGATAATGATCGACATAGAAACCCGTTTTTATTGGTGACTCGCATAAAGTTCGATTAATCTAAAAGAGGCATTAAAATTTCATCTATTAGCCTCATCCAAATTTAACAAGCGAACAAGAAATAAGCAAAAACCAAAATATTATTATGCAAAAAAAGAAAGTTTGTGAAAAGAGATTAAAACAGGAATATTTAAATTTGAAAAAAGATGATATTTCATTGAGACACTGAAAGTTCGGTTTTTTATTTTTCAAGCGTTATCAATTATTGTATGAAATAAGAAAAAATAATGTTATTGCTGAACATACCGTGAAATAATGCAAATAACAAATAATAAACCTCATAATTATGAATTCAAAAAAAGGAATATTTTAGATGATACCAAAAGGACATCATCGTTGGAACAGAACAAAAGATTGATAAATTTGAGAATGTCCAAATTCTTCACGATAAACTATTTTAAAGTTGCGTTAGAAAGTTTGAAGCATTCAAATTAATGTGCTAATTTTGTTTAACTTTTAATGTGTAAATTAATTTTAATTTCTTTAATAAATTAAAATTTTTTTTCGCTTCTTTTACGTATACCCCAGGTAACAATTGTTAGATAATTCAATGAAATTCATGCAGTTATCCCTTTCTTTGCTGAATTTTTAAATCTGATTCAAATATTTATAATAATGGGACTTCAATTATTACATTGAAGAGATTGCTGGTAGATAAATTAAATGTGTCAATAGCATAGTTGAATAATGAAATGAAGGTGATGGAAATTTTGAATCGAATCGAGCCTATTCTATTATAAATTTAAGCCAAGAAAAAGAGAAAAGAGACAGGGAAAGGAGCAAGGCTATTTTTTTGCAAATTTTTTAAAATAGAATTTTTTCCTAGCGAGAGTGACACACTCTGGTTTGAATAAAATCGAAATCAAACTGATGATTATATCTTTAAGTGTTACAGTAAGCAGAACTGTAACAGCATAAACAATAATGATCATTATCACGTTGTTTTTTAAAGAAAATTATTGTTACAAACCTGATAAATGGTTCACCGACGATTTCATTTGCAAGTAAGACAAATAAATTTGTGGTAATAATAATGGTTAGTAAAATATACTGCTCTATAGTATGCGACATTTTCATAACAATATCTTAGTAATGATGATGATAAATAAAAGATGATAATGACAACAGTGATAGTGATAATGATAGACTGGTTTGAAACAAAATGGCTAACTGCTTCGTTAATATTGCATCAAAAGATATGATGGAAGAAGATGATGCCCGGTACATCGGAAACGTAAAATATTGAACTGTTATGCTCCCGATAATATTAAGAAATCACTCCAAAATAGCTTTCATCCAACCATAAAAATTAGCAAGTAAATTCGATTCTTAAAATTGCTGTTAAATATTTTATTTCTATCAATTGATACTTTTTTCATAACAATAAGGAATAATTTTAGTAACGAAAGTAATATTAGCAGATAATCAGTAATAAAAATTGGTACTTATCATAATCAGTAATAATATATTAAGTATAGCAGTAGTAAAATGAATGGAACAATAGATCAACGTCCTTATTAGCCCCTCAGGGATGTAAGAAGAAGAATGCTTAACATTCCTGACTGATTGATACCAGTTCTAAGGAGAAGCAACTCTGCCCTTCTTCATGATTTCGAAAATTTGAAAGGAATAAAGACGACAAGAAATGTCCTCTTCCTCGGCAATCTACCCGTCCCTCACCCATTCATCCAATATCTGCCCACCCCATCTCTATTCCAATTTCCCGAACCACTACACAACCCCGTCTGCCCTCCCACCCATCTATTCGTTACGGCTATAACTAACTAATTTCACTTCAGCAAGAAACAATTATTCCGCAGAAATTTACTTTTTATTTTCACGATTAAATTTGTTCTCTTCCGCTTTCAGTCGATGAATGAATGAAATCTGAAAAGCTTTCCCTGTCATATGGAAGTGACCGATTAGTGGACAGACGCTGATAGCCTTCTCTCTCTCACTCGCACTCTCACTTCTACCATTATATTCTTTGAAACAAACATGTTTCTATACTTTTCTTTTACTAACAGCAACTGTTCAAAAAAAACAAGAAAAAACTAAAGGGAAGGAATTAACATTTATTTAGTTGCCTATCAATGACAAGGTGATAAAAGTGCTAAAAGATGAAATTCAAAAATGTAATCAGAAAATCAGAGGAAAGATTGCAACTGAACTTTGACATTCGTCATCTAGCATAATTCCATCAGAAAAAATTCAACTTCACTGATGCACATATTCCATTTGATAGCAAATTTTTTGGATTCTGAACACTCAATATAAATTATTTTCAAGTGAAATCTCAATCTTGTTTTGACTTCTTTAAAGCAAATAATTCATTTCAGTTTATTATTTGCATATACATTTTAATGATTGAAAAAATTTGCTTGATTTCATGAATATGATTCTAATTCAAATTTGAAAAAGATGAATTTTTCCTCATTGATAAAAAATGTAACATTTAATATGAACAACTGCGGATGCATGTCACAATTCTTCTCCTGTAGGATGAAGAAAGGCATTTTTTATTAATCATTCAAAGCCATTTGAAGTGTTCAAAAGTTAGCTAAAAATAATTTTCAGAAAAAGGATAACTACTCCTATGGCTCTTTTTCTATATCGATTGTTGCCGTTGAGGAAGATTTGAAATTTAGCATTCGGCTCTTATTTGCTTAAAGCGAGTAAATTTCCTATGCTCCAAAAATTTCACCAATTACACTTTATATGATTTGCAAACGATGTGATAATTTAATTTTAAAAGAGTGGAAGCATTTGGTATCTAATTTTAATCCTCAAAACTGTTGTTAAAATGCTTTAATTCATGATTACTACATTTTTCAAAAACAAAATTACTTTTCTGATATTTTTTCAGATATGTCTAAAAATAAATTTAAGATTAATTAATATTATTAAAATTTGTTTCATTTCTTTGTCAAATCTACAACTAAATTTGTAAATTTGCAATTTTAATGGTCAGAAAGAAATGTATAATTTTGCANATGTATAATTTTGCACTACCATCCATTAATGGTCAATCGATCTATCATAATACCGAAAGTTTAACAAAATATTTCGCCTCATGACATCTTCTATATGTAAATGTCGTATTTCCTACAACATATTACATTGGGTTTTATTGTTTTTATTTTTGTTTTCGAATATTAATAGTGGAAAAAACAACGGATCTATTTGTAAGAGCAAAAAAATTAAAACAAAAAAAAAAATTTAGAGAATGAAGGAAGAAAATAATTCTTGACGACTGCAAATCCATCAGGCATTTCAGATTTCAATGTTTGGAATTAAATAAGATCAAAGAATGATTATTTGGTTGCATTATATATCTTCCCCTAATGCTGGCTGTTTTCAATTTATTGACATAAAACTATAAAATAAGTCATAGAAATCAAATCCATTACTAAAATATTTGCTAACTTCCATCTTTTTTTTACTTTAAAGTTATTTTTAATCTTAATTTGGCTAAATTATTGATTCAATGGATAAGCAAGACCTCGGTACATTTTGTAAGTTACAAATATTGGAAAAAAGAACGATGGATCGTAGTTGTATAATAGTTTTATTATTATCTTTGAATATAATAATAAAACTATTATACAACTACAATCCATCATTTCAGTTTTACTGTGATTTAAAATGTAAAGTTTTAAATGCTTCAAAATATTTGAAACGTATTTCAAAATATCTAAATCATTTTAGTAAGTGCACTATTACAAAAAGATTAGTAAACGCTGTTACGAAAAGAGAGAAAATAAATTAAAATT